AATAAAAATATTAATAAAAATTTTTTTGTATGTGTAATAATTTCAAATATTCAACTATTTGTTGAATGTTGAATGATGTATGCAGAATATTATTATCATTTACCTGGAATGTAAATCAGACAATGTCAAATCGCTGTCTGGTAAATTATGCTCCCAATCGAGAATAGTATCGTGCATTCGGCCGCGGCACGGACGACCGCCTATCTGCTCTGATCTGCATACAGTATCTAAAGATTTTTTCCCCACACTTTTGGTCGCAAAATTACGAATAAATTGCCTGCAAAATAATTTGAGAATTCTCAGTATTCTTATTGTAATAAGAACCGATATATTTTATCATTTTAATTAAACCACTTTCTATTTTTTATATTTACTAGTTTATACATTTTTCCTACATACAAAATTAAGGAAGTATGTAATTACATATGTATATTCTTTTTTAATCATATATTTATATACAAACCTGCCACATTTATCACACTGTTCTGTAAACATATTTCCATGCAGTTCTGCTAGATATTGCCTCGATATTCCCGACCGTAAATGTAATCCATCTATATTCTGACTTATGATGAATTTTATTTTTTCTAAAAAAAAAAAAAAATTTGTAACAAACAAATATTGAGTAAAAAGAATTTTGAAACTCTTAAAGCTTTTATAGCTCTTTTCATTCACCAACACTTACTGGCCTCTATCAATTTTTTCAATGCCATATGTGTTTTTGTAGGAATTGCTTCATCAAAGGAAATGTTCATCGAAGGTTTTAAGCCTTTCTGTTCCAATGTCCACACACCATTTGTACCCCTAACGTAAGAGAAGATATCGTTCAAAATAGGCCAACACAATATACACTTTTATACTATATTTTAATTATTGAAGTTTATCTCAATCTACTGTTGCTGAATCTATAAATAATTATAAAGCTTTCCTTATATTTAGTTTTCTTATATTTATCTGTTCTAGTTTCAATGTAAGAGCTACTAAAATTATCTGCGGTTTAGAGAAACTTTAAAAACATATGTATATACATTTTAAAAATATATTACGATAATAGCGCGAAAAGATTCTGTTTCATAAAAATGCATTATTACAAGTCAACAGTTTAGCATTGTTACATGTTTTCATCTCATACTTGATCTTCATGCTTCAAGATTCTTCGTGTATCACATCTGTTATACAATGTCAAATGCTATCCTCAGTAGAAGGAGGTGACACAAGTGAATTCGGACGGAGAGAGAGGGGAAGAGGGCAAGGGACAGGGACTATCAAAAATTTTGACAGTTTGACAGAAATCGGCAGGCGATAGTCACCGAAAATCGGGGATACCCGCGGCGGTGCTGATACCGGCGCCGGTGTGGACCACGACGTGACGGGCGCCCTGTATCCATTCGGCCAGGAGGCCGCATTTCAGCCGAAGAGTCTCGACGCTGTCGTATCTCTGGAAGCGAGGAGAATAAGAGAGTAGAGGAAAAGAGAATGAAAAAAAATAAAAAAATAAAAAAATAAAAGAGCATCGCGTTCGAAGCATTCAAAATCAAACGTCGTAGTCTCGAAAAGATGAAAAGAAAGAAAGAAAGGAAAAAAAAAAAAAAAAAGATTTCATCCCGCCGAGTATTTTTTCTTCTTTTTTTTTTCTCACCTCCTCCAGGCCCAACACTCCTTTGTTTTCGTACGGCGATAACCCGTCCGCGTAGCTGGATGACATTTTTGCGCGGTCACTCGTCTCGGGCGAGAGATCTCGTCGGATATTCTAGACGACGCCTGGGGGACGCCACGAACGGATATCCGGGCCCGTCTTTTACGATCGCCGTGGATGGATGAAGCTGAAGCGATTTTAGCCGCGCTCCGGCCGCGCTCCCATGTGTCAGAACGGATACGTAAACACAATATGAATCGAGCTAATGACCGCGTGCTGTTATGTTTATACGCTACGAATGACGATAAGTGATAGGAAACTCGAGACCCGCGGGGAACGCATTCTGTTTTATAGACTGCACTGCATGCAACGAAATGGCACTTGAACAGAAAGAAGATAATAAACCGCCCGGGGCATGCGCCTTGCGGTTCGCGCGTCCCGTAGGAGCGGCGATCCGGGACGCCATGGACGCTCGAGTTAGCCCGAGTTCCTCTCGCGTGCATTTAATTCATGCACGAGTCGCGCGACCGAGCCACGCGTTTGGCGGCAATTTCGAATTCGATCTCCCATCGAAAATCGATTGTTCTTCAATTCTGAAAAAAGTAGTCGACAAAATCATTTTCTAGCATTTTCTAGCATTCCGCACTTTAATAAATACATTCGCGTTTAAGATTGTTAAAATACGGACGAGATAAAAATGAATCTCTCACACGTGTGTCAATTGTTTGCTTCTTTTTTGAATTACAAAAATGAGCAATTATAAAATATAGTTCAAAAAACACGATCGCGTAACGTGTTATAATTTTCCGGTCGAGCACAAAGCATACAGTTTATTTGTTTCAACTTTATTTGTTTTTATTCATCGTCGATTCATTCAGCGTGAAAGGGACGGGGAACACGTGCTTGTTTAGTACAGTGCATGGTCTACAATATGAAGAAATTAATTTCCCAGAAAAATATCGCGCGCGCAAGAATATAATTTTAACGAGATCGAAGCGCGAGGCGGACTTATCGGAGGAGCGTCTTGTATCGATAGATAATTAAAAAACGATGAAGATTGCTAGAAGGTTCCGGAAAATGGCGATGGACTTGGGTGGCGTTTCGCGCTCTCATCTCACCGTCATTTTTCCCTCTTTCTCGCAATTTCGCCACCGGTTCTCTTTCATCTTTCATCTCGCGATTACCGTCCTATAGCTATAGCGGACCTTTATCCGCGCATGCCGGGTGGAGTGACGTCCACTACGGTCGCGTCAACTCGAGTGACACGGTCGCGACTAAGGAGGGACGCGCGCCGCATCGAGGAAGGAAGATGAGGGGTGTAAGGAAAAAAAAGAAAACACACTTCTGAGTACGTATATAGGTTTTTTCCCCTTTTTCTTTTCCGGTCGCTCTTGCATATATACATAATAACCGACGCGTATTCATATACACGCACACATACACGCGAGCGCGCGCGCGCGCATGACGATGACAAGTGCCGCGTGGTTTTTTTTCCCTCACGTTCGTCGATGTGCGTGCGCGACCAGGTGATTCCGCAAGAAAATACTCCCTCTCTATCTCTCTTTCTCTTTTTCCCCTCCTTCTCAGTCCCCGTCCCTCTCACGCTCGCTTTCTCTCCCACTCTCCCCCTCTCGCTCGGTTTAGAAACTCACACCCTCTCTGGTATATAACCTCAAACCGTCGGCGAGCTAGTGTCGCGTCGCTCGACGAGTGTTTTCCGCGGCTAAAAAGGGGTTCCGAATGTGCGTGGCGCGGTTTCTGCAGTCGCAGCGGGTGTTAGCGTGCTCCGGGAGTTTCTCACCACATGCGATTTGTAAGTACGGTATTTAGTTCCGGTTTTTTTCCAAATTGCCGCATTTTATTTTTTCTAAAAAAAAAAAAAAATTTGTAACAAACAAATATTGAGTAAAAAGAATTTTGAAACTCTTAAAGCTTTTATAGCTCTTTTCATTCACCAACACTTACTGGCCTCTATCAATTTTTTCAATGCCATATGTGTTTTTGTAGGAATTGCTTCATCAAAGGAAATGTTCATCGAAGGTTTTAAGCCTTTCTGTTCCAATGTCCACACACCATTTGTACCCCTAACGTAAGAGAAGATATCGTTCAAAATAGGCCAACACAATATACACTTTTATACTATATTTTAATTATTGAAGTTTCTCTCAATCTACTGTTGCTGAATCTATAAATAATTATAAAGCTTTCCTTATATTTAGTTTTCTTATATTTATCTGTTCTAGTTTCAATGTAAGAGCTACTAAAATTATCTGCGGTTTAGAGAAACTTTAAAAACATATGTATATACATTTTAAAAATATATTACGATAATAGCGCGAAAAGATTCTGTTTCATAAAAATGCATTATTACAAGTCAACAGTTTAGCATTGTTACATGTTTTCATCTCATACTTGATCTTCATGCTTCAAGATTCTTCGTGTATCACATCTGTTATACAATGTCAAATGCTATCCTCAGTAGAAGGAGGTGACACAAGTGAATTCGGACGGAGAGAGAGGGGAAGAGGGCAAGGGACAGGGACTATCAAAAATTTTGACAGTTTGACAGAAATCGGCAGGCGATAGTCACCGAAAATCGGGGATACCCGCGGCGGTGCTGATACCGGCGCCGGTGTGGACCACGACGTGACGGGCGCCCTGTATCCATTCGGCCAGGAGGCCGCATTTCAGCCGAAGAGTCTCGACGCTGTCGTATCTCTGGAAGCGAGGAGAATAAGAGAGTAGAGGAAAAGAGAATGAAAAAAAATAAAAAAATAAAAAAATAAAAGAGCATCGCGTTCGAAGCATTCAAAATCAAACGTCGTAGTCTCGAAAAGATGAAAAGAAAGAAAGAAAGGAAAAAAAAAAAAAAAAAGATTTCATCCCGCCGAGTATTTTTTCTTCTTTTTTTTTTCTCACCTCCTCCAGGCCCAACACTCCTTTGTTTTCGTACGGCGATAACCCGTCCGCGTAGCTGGATGACATTTTTGCGCGGTCACTCGTCTCGGGCGAGAGATCTCGTCGGATATTCTAGACGACGCCTGGGGGACGCCACGAACGGATATCCGGGCCCGTCTTTTACGATCGCCGTGGATGGATGAAGCTGAAGCGATTTTAGCCGCGCTCCGGCCGCGCTCCCATGTGTCAGAACGGATACGTAAACACAATATGAATCGAGCTAATGACCGCGTGCTGTTATGTTTATACGCTACGAATGACGATAAGTGATAGGAAACTCGAGACCCGCGGGGAACGCATTCTGTTTTATAGACTGCACTGCATGCAACGAAATGGCACTTGAACAGAAAGAAGATAATAAACCGCCCGGGGCATGCGCCTTGCGGTTCGCGCGTCCCGTAGGAGCGGCGATCCGGGACGCCATGGACGCTCGAGTTAGCCCGAGTTCCTCTCGCGTGCATTTAATTCATGCACGAGTCGCGCGACCGAGCCACGCGTTTGGCGGCAATTTCGAATTCGATCTCCCATCGAAAATCGATTGTTCTTCAATTCTGAAAAAAGTAGTCGACAAAATCATTTTCTAGCATTTTCTAGCATTCCGCACTTTAATAAATACATTCGCGTTTAAGATTGTTAAAATACGGACGAGATAAAAATGAATCTCTCACACGTGTGTCAATTGTTTGCTTCTTTTTTGAATTACAAAAATGAGCAATTATAAAATATAGTTCAAAAAACACGATCGCGTAACGTGTTATAATTTTCCGGTCGAGCACAAAGCATACAGTTTATTTGTTTCAACTTTATTTGTTTTTATTCATCGTCGATTCATTCAGCGTGAAAGGGACGGGGAACACGTGCTTGTTTAGTACAGTGCATGGTCTACAATATGAAGAAATTAATTTCCCAGAAAAATATCGCGCGCGCAAGAATATAATTTTAACGAGATCGAAGCGCGAGGCGGACTTATCGGAGGAGCGTCTTGTATCGATAGATAATTAAAAAACGATGAAGATTGCTAGAAGGTTCCGGAAAATGGCGATGGACTTGGGTGGCGTTTCGCGCTCTCATCTCACCGTCATTTTTCCCTCTTTCTCGCAATTTCGCCACCGGTTCTCTTTCATCTTTCATCTCGCGATTACCGTCCTATAGCTATAGCGGACCTTTATCCGCGCATGCCGGGTGGAGTGACGTCCACTACGGTCGCGTCAACTCGAGTGACACGGTCGCGACTAAGGAGGGACGCGCGCCGCATCGAGGAAGGAAGATGAGGGGTGTAAGGAAAAAAAAGAAAACACACTTCTGAGTACGTATATAGGTTTTTTCCCCTTTTTCTTTTCCGGTCGCTCTTGCATATATACATAATAACCGACGCGTATTCATATACACGCACACATACACGCGAGCGCGCGCGCGCGCATGACGATGACAAGTGCCGCGTGGTTTTTTTTCCCTCACGTTCGTCGATGTGCGTGCGCGACCAGGTGATTCCGCAAGAAAATACTCCCTCTCTATCTCTCTTTCTCTTTTTCCCCTCCTTCTCAGTCCCCGTCCCTCTCACGCTCGCTTTCTCTCCCACTCTCCCCCTCTCGCTCGGTTTAGAAACTCACACCCTCTCTGGTATATAACCTCAAACCGTCGGCGAGCTAGTGTCGCGTCGCTCGACGAGTGTTTTCCGCGGCTAAAAAGGGGTTCCGAATGTGCGTGGCGCGGTTTCTGCAGTCGCAGCGGGTGTTAGCGTGCTCCGGGAGTTTCTCACCACATGCGATTTGTAAGTACGGTATTTAGTTCCGGTTTTTTTCCAAATTGCCGCATATGGTGTAACGCGGTCGTACAAAAAAACACGATCGCGTAACGTGTTATAATTTTCCGGTCGAGCACAAAGCATACAGTTTATTTGTTGTTTTTTATTTGTTTTTATTCATCGTCGATTCATTCAGCGTGAAAGGGACGGGGAACACGTGCTTGTTTAGTACAGTGCATGGTCTACAATATGAAGAAATTAATTTCCCAGAAAAATATCGCGCGCGCAAGAATATAATTTTAACGAGATCGAAGCGCGAGGCGGACTTATCGGAGGAGCGTCTTGTATCGATAGATAATTAAAAAACGATGAAGATTGCTAGAAGGTTCCGGAAAATGGCGATGGACTTGGGTGGCGTTTCGCGCTCTCATCTCACCGTCATTTTTCCCTCTTTCTCGCAATTTCGCCACCGGTTCTCTTTCATCTTTCATCTCGCGATTACCGTCCTATAGCTATAGCGGACCTTTATCCGCGCATGCCGGGTGGAGTGACGTCCACTACGGTCGCGTCAACTCGAGTGACACGGTCGCGACTAAGGAGGGACGCGCGCCGCATCGAGGAAGGAAGATGAGGGGTGTAAGGAAAAAAAAGAAAACACACTTCTGAGTACGTATATAGGTTTTTTCCCCTTTTTCTTTTCCGGTCGCTCTTGCATATATACATAATAACCGACGCGTATTCATATACACGCACACATACACGCGAGCGCGCGCGCGCGCATGACGATGACAAGTGCCGCGTGGTTTTTTTTCCCTCACGTTCGTCGATGTGCGTGCGCGACCAGGTGATTCCGCAAGAAAATACTCCCTCTCTATCTCTCTTTCTCTTTTTCCCCTCCTTCTCAGTCCCCGTCCCTCTCACGCTCGCTTTCTCTCCCACTCTCCCCCTCTCGCTCGGTTTAGAAACTCACACCCTCTCTGGTATATAACCTCAAACCGTCGGCGAGCTAGTGTCGCGTCGCTCGACGAGTGTTTTCCGCGGCTAAAAAGGGGTTCCGAATGTGCGTGGCGCGGTTTCTGCAGTCGCAGCGGGTGTTAGCGTGCTCCGGGAGTTTCTCACCACATGCGATTTGTAAGTACGGTATTTAGTTCCGGTTTTTTTCCAAATTGCCGCATATGGTGTAACGCGGTCGTACACCGCGTCCACAATTTATTCCCGATCTGGCGCGTCCTCGATTGCCGGACGCGCGAAAATCGCCGAGATTCGTTCGCGTAGATACATATATCGAGAGAAGTTTGTAATCATCGAGATTGCTTGCGTTTTCTCTCTATTTTTTCTTTTTTTTTTTTTTTTTTTTTTTTGGGGGTCGTAATAGAACTTTTTTGGAGGGTCGTAGGAATTCGGAGGTATTTTCGAGAAGCGACATCTCCTTTCGCGTGCGTGTGTTTTTCTTTGAATGTGTTCTTAGATTTTACATATATGCAATGCGTTCAAATAAAAAACGCAAAATTACAGACGCTCCTGTTTCGTAATTAAAGCGGAGATTCGCTTGGAGCGAACTCAAAAACAGTTTTGTTTCGGGCGAAAATTGATTTGGGTGTTTCCGGCAGAAAACTTTTGACTAAAGTAAAAACGCTTTTTCATAATTTCTCGATTAAATGAAAATGCTCTATTTTATTTTAAAAAGCTTCTGCTTTTTTATAGTTTCGCTTAAATAAAAAAATGAGGCCAATGTATGTATCATTAATATCTGAAGTATTCTGATAATACAGATATATATATATAATTACTCTTTATTTTGATGGACAGATGGAAGAAAAGATAAGATTAGGAATGATGAATTACATAGTCGGAAGTTTTATTGTGTCTGTAAACATATTTATCAGTTGATTTAATCATCAATTAAGTTAAATGTTGAATTAATCAAAATCTTTGCAAGATAAGAAATCTCAATTAATTTTCAATAATATTCTAAAAAACGTTTATATATGTCTTTATTTTATATACTAAAAAGCGCTTTTGTATTTTTTAAGTAAATCTACAAATACGATAACAAAAATATCTCTATTTTAATCTAAGTTTTGTTATATATATTTATGTTTATTTATTTTATGTATATATATATATTTTTTTTTTTTTGAAACTGTGATTTATATATATATGTGTATAAAACTTAGATATTTAAATACCCACCTCAGCTTTTGTCCAAAACAAAAGCGCGTTTTTGAATAAATATGAAATATAGAAACTTAAAAAAAACTCAGTTTTCAAATTTGTTGTATCGATTTCATGCGAGGACGATCTTCTCACTAAATAAATAAAATAATTAGGAGTCGGCGTCCGCGTTTAGTGCTAAAATATCGCGCTAAATAGAGACAAGAATGAGGGGCCTTGTGCACCTAATGAGAAAATACATAACTTATCGCAACGTCGGTTTTATGCCAATTTAATGTCTGTATGTTACGCAAGGTCGCAAATTACTTTGCACAAATTGCAAGATAGTTATTAAAGAAGATAGTTATTAGATAACTCGGAGATCAATAATCGTACACGCCCGCCATCCCCCCTGAATTGTTCAACCAAGAATTGTATACCCGAAACGCTGGAGACTCGCTCATCTTGTTACGGCACTGGATCTGCCCTTTTCGCTTGAGATGTCGTAACAAGCAAACACACAGAAAGTTTATTTTATATATAGTGTCGTAGAGGGAGAGAAACACGCGCACAAATGTTGTTCCGGGACATACATTCTAATGAATTCGGCGCCAGCTTTTCTCGCTCTTTGTGAAAGGAATCTCTTACAAAAATGGATATATATATA